ATTGAAAACCCAAAAAGAACGCAAAATGTTTTGAAAACCCAAAAAAGAACAAAACGTTTTGAAAACACAAAAAGAGCTGCGTTTTGGCTGACGCCTACCTCATCCGGTAAGTGTCACTTTTGCTTTCGCCCTCGCCCCCACCGTCACTGCTCTTGTTTCCGTTTATCTTCCATGTATGAACCGGAGGAGATGCCGAGGCTGATGCGAACACTTGACCTTCACGAACTCGCGAACATTTAACGCTTACGAACTTCCCCCATTTTGTGTTTTTGGCACCGTTAGGGAGGACACGGGTGGGAGCCCGCTAGGGTCCGATCGCCTGGTTCTCCCCCAGCAGCTGCATCAGGTTTCACTACCTGGTCTCGCAGAAGGCTGGCCCGCGACGGACAGTCCTCACGTAGATCGAAGGGTCACCCACGGTTTCCCTTCTAGGAGGGGGGCTGTGTAGCGACCTGGAGATTCCCCCGTATGACTGTGTAAACTATTCTAAAATACATACAAATTATAGCTTTCTTATGTATTAGGGAACTAGGCGGTTTGCCTGTTGGAACGTTGTTCCCGTTTGTTGAAAACACGAACGCCATCTCCGCCTTTGGCGCGCGCGACTCGATTGCGAACGACGCTCTGTCAACGCACTGGACGCCATCGACATTCTCCCTAGCTAGCTCTCTCCGGGTGCCCTATTTTTAGCATTAGCTAACGCTCCACCCGTCCAATAAACTTTTCCCTAGCTTAATGTTGTGTCTTCTATCCATTATTTTTGGTAGGCCGTCTAGTCGCGTACCGGATATATAGCGCACGATCTACGCGCTATAGGTGTGCTCTTTGGACTTCAGTAGAGCCTTTGACTCAGTGAATCATCGATTTTTACTTGTGAAGCTGACATGGTTTGGATTGCATCCTCAACTATTACCATGGCTCTCTGAATTCTTACGTGGAAGAACATTCAGAGTCAGAGTTGGGGAAGCGAGTGTTGGCCATGCCTACAGCGGTGTCCCCCAAGGTTCAGTACTGGGTCCATTGTTGTTTCTTATGTTTATAAATGACCTGGCTCCTCTTCTTGAGGATCCCTGCTATATCTTCGCAGATGACTTGAAACTAGTCAGTATGGAAAACCGAGCAACATTGGCCAAGGACATCACTGTGGTGAATTGGTCGAGTCAATGGGATCTACCTCTAAATGCCAATAAATGTCAACTATTGACTAGTAGTGGTAGCGGAATTGCAGTTCAGTCTCTTGCAGGATCTCTATCATTACGGTGTACTGATGAAGCCCGCGATCTAGGTGTCATCGTAACGAACAATTTCAAGTCTTCGGCACAGTGTGGCCATGCTGCCAATAAAGCGCGACAAGAGTTATCTCGTCTTAGGAGGACGCTGAGTAACACTAAAGCAAAGTATTCTTGCCGTTATATAAAGCAGTGGTTAGGCCACATCTGGAGTATTGTGTTCAGGCCTGGGCACCGTACCTCCGGAATGACGTCATTTGTATAGAGAAGATTCAGAAACTTGCGACTAGGATGATCGAAGGTCAACGAGGGAAGTCGTACGAAGATCGTCTAAGTAGCTTGGGATTATTTTCCTTGGAACGGCGTAAATTAAGAGGGGATTTGATAGAGACGTTTAAGGTCATTAAGGGAGTTAGTGGTATTAGTCCCACCCATCTGTTTGAGTTGGCTGTGTCAGACCATCTGCGCGGGCATCGCCTGAAGCTCAAACATAGAGCTCGTTTGGACATCAGGGCAAAGTTTTTTACGAACCGAGTAGTTAACTTCTGGAATAAACTTTCTTCTGATTTAGTAGAGTCTGAGACTGTAGAAGCCTTCAAAAGGGGCTTAGATGATTGTTGGTCTATCCTTTTTCCAGAGATATTGTGGTTGTACTGGAATATGTATTGTATTTTGATGCTGACACATGAATGTGCAAAGATTGCTCTTGTTCTTGCTTCGTTCATTTGCAGAAGCAAGAAGAGACAATCCAACATCGAAGTGCCGGGGGCCGCTTCACTTACCGGTACAAGAACAGGACGCTCGTTAGGCGGAAGCCTCTATCGTCCGTTTGACCTGACCTGACCTGAAGATGCACTAGCCTATATTATACATTCAGTGCTGGTATCATTGGACAATAAGGTAGTATCCTTGCGAGTATGTTTTCTTGCCTCTAGCAATGCTTTCGACAGTGCATACAGCTTATTTTGAGTCATTTGTGATACCGGAATCCAACCATGCACTGTTCACCTGCTGAGGGACTATTTGACTTAGGAACAAAAGTTCCTCTCTACCCATTACAAGCACTGGGGTTCTTTAAGAAGCCATATTGTTACCATACCTTTTTTCTACTTACCTCGTCTCCTTACCCGCTTCTGACGAAGCGATATCGCTGAAATACTCAAACGACGTCGTCTTAGGTATCTGACATCCGACCTCAGCCTCTTCAGTCAAGCTACAAGCTTATCTGGACGACTTTGTACTGTGGTCCAGAGCTCACTTTTTATCGCTAAATGCATTAAAATGCGGGGACGTTCCTTTTCCCATTCACAATGACCGCAGTTATCACCAACTTCTAATGGACCGCCCTGAAGTTCACATAGGTGGTAAACGGTTGCACTGCAAGGAATCTGAAGTATCTAGGTGTTATACTCAGCCGTGATCTTTCCTGGTCGCTCCTAGTGAATGAAATTTTTACCAAAGTGTGGAGGCTTTCCTTTTACGTTGCCCGTTTGCAATCCTCCTCTGCCCCCCGCTACCTAACACTGCGATTTATCACCGCTTGTCTTACCTCACTGGACTTATTGCTTCTCTGTGACATTCCCCGATCTCCTAAAGAAGAATTTCTAATCCTAGATAGGTCATTTACACAACTGTCTCGATGTAGCGGTATTCTAAAGCGCAGCTTTATTGACAGTATTGTCTAATCTGATGCAAAAAGATTGCTTCAAAAATACCCGCTGATGCAAGTCACCAGTATGAGAAGTCAAAGATAGTTCATAGTTTCATAGTGTTGTATAGAACAGAAGGGAAAAGACCTGTCTGCTCCTTCACCACCTGTTCATTGGCTGGATGATGCGTGCCCTTGCTAACCTGTGTTCACCCAATGAACCCAGGTGGATAACGTGTCGTCAGAGCGGACGTGAAGCCTCCGCAGTTTAGATAGTTTCCAACTATGATCCAGTGTCGGAGTATCTACATTGAGTTGGAAGGACCTCCGTCTTCAAGTTGCCTTTTAAGATGCGTCTTGTGTATATCAGATCCCCATGGTGACGATGCTAGCCCAAAGAGAACAAGTTCCTACGCTGAAGTCAAAGGGCATACGACAAATCACGCAGCACTGATACAGACTTGCATCTACGCCTCTGAACCTTCTCGATTAAAGCACACTCAAACTTCGTAAGAGGGTGTAAAGCGGATAGTCCATATTCCAATACTGGACGGATGTGGGATGAAAACAGGAACTTGAAGATCTCATGCGTCATTTATAAAATGGCTTACGTATATCGCAGAGCACCCTGTTGGCGGAGGCGACTTTCCGCAACGTATATGGGATGGTTTACAAGTTAGGGGATAGTCACACCCAACTCTTTCTCAGAAGCTGCGTTGCTCAGCAGGAAACCACCGATGTGGTAGACGCCGAAAAGTTCTGGAAAACCGATTAGAAGAAAACATCATTTGTCATGGTTGATAGGTCGCAACGAGACTGTACCTTAACGTGGTGCGACGGTTTGCATACCTCATTGACCCATTGGGCTATACTGGGTGATGCCTCCGGGCACCTTGAGAGCTACTCCTACCAGGTTGGTCAATGGTGAGAGGTCAGACAAACTCAGTCTCCTTGTCTTCCAGCTTGGGGTTTGAAATGCGATGGCGTCCATTTCTGTAAAACTAAATCATTGCCACCCCCGCTGCCTTGCGTAGAGGCTTGTGAGCCAAAGGCTTTGGAAGAGGACCCTAATCGTCCT